TGCTTGGCTCATGTTTTATTAGGAAGAAGGATTAGGTGAGGGAGGGTCATAACAACAATAGGCCATAGATCTGCACTGATCTCCATCTAAACCAGAGATATACATCTCAAATAGAGCGTAAAGGCATTGATCTAAATACGGAATACCGGGATTACTGTACTGGTTCATGCTGTTTAATGAGAACGCTTATGTGAACACCTAAATACACGGTAAGTAAGTAACAGATAGTGCACTTATCCAAACAAGTCCAATAAGAATGTAACCGGATGGTGAAAACTCAACAATGGGTAAATAGCTTCTCAAATTCAAACTGTTGATGTTTAGAGTTTTTCAAGCTGTTGTTTTGGTTGTTCTCTCTCTCTCCAGAGGTTAAAGGTCAGACTTGGAGATTTCAGCGTTCCAGCACTCCATGTCTTCACATCAGTCTTCATTAACCGTCTGGATCTCCTCAGTCTATATGCAATGTCCACCTCTCTCACTCCCAACAAACAACATATGCTCTGTGAGCTGGCTACTGTTAGCCATCATAATAGCAGGTAACACTTTATTGTGATGGTCCATTTGAGTATTAGTAGACTGTCTGCTTAATATCTGCTGATACTGCTTCTTTAACAGACATTATCTGACCATAAGAAACTTAGCAATTACATGTCAACTTACACCAACCCTAACCCCAACCTAAAAGTCTACTTATAGTGTAATGAGAATTAGTTGGCATGTAGATGCAATGTAACCTAATTCAACAAACATTAAAGTTTTAAACAAATGTTATTGTGGAGGCTCAACTGCTCTCAAATTTAACAATAGTCTGTTTTTCATTTTTTATATACTGTATATCTCAATCAAATGATTACATGGATGCACAGTTCTCAACTTTTGAAATGGATCAAAACTTGATGGGGAATCCTGCTTCAGAAATAACTCCTCTCCCTCAGTCATCTTTCCATCAAGCAAGTTTCACCAGAAATGGCAGTAACGCACCAAAAACTTTGTTGTCGAACATTGAAAACAGGAAAAAGAAGAAATTGTCATTCTCGCCGTCATATGGATTTACTTAAATCGGCTAGACACTGGCCTCACAGCTCCGAGAATGGCAGTAACGTCACTTATTGATCTGTGATTGATAAAAGAAGCTTGTGTGGACGCTACTGCGCTACTTGACTAATAAAATAGCTTTGCTACTAAAAAGTTATTTGATTTAGAAAGTTGTGACACTACCGTCACGCTACTGAGAAATGTAATTAAGCTAGTAGCGTCACTACTTGTAGCATCACTACTTGTAGTGATCCACAGTTATATGGATGAAGCATCCAAGTGTTTTCAGTATAACGCAATAGCCCTTCTAGCTTGAAAAAAAACTAAATTCCTAAATTTTTGTCTTTCCATTTGATAGTTCTATAGGATACAAACCAAGAATACAGAGCTTGGCATTTATACACTGTCAAACCCAAAAAGTTAAGGTAACTCATACTATTTGAGGAAACTGATTGCAGCAAACCAATTAAGTTCAAAAACCAATCTTAATGAGTACTGTGAACTTAATTTATTTGAGTAAATGAAGCAATTTGAGCACAGTAAAACCCAGTAAATGAAGAGAACTCAAACCAACTGAGTAATGTAAAATCCATTAAGTTAAGGCAACTCAAACCGTTTGAGGAAACCGATTGCTACAAACCGTTTGAGTTTAAAACTAATCTATATGAGTACTCTGAACTTACTCGTAATAAGCTGAAGTATTCAGGTATTTAATCAACTCATTACCTTCAACACTGAGTTCAAAACTGTTTTCAAATGAGTAGAATTAACTTTCAGTCAATTTTGAGTTACAGTAACTACATTAATTTCATTTCATAAAGTTGACAGTCTGGTTTTACAGTGTATGTGTAGGTTCTGTAATTTTACACTTTAAAAACTTCTTCCTGCTTTATTTTTTGTTGGATTAAATTAATATTATTAATAAATAAATATATATTATTAAAGTTAAACATCCACTATATAAATGCTGGGTTCCACACAATTACTTCATGTTGTCCCAACACAAATCGATTAAGTTAACTTGAACAAGCTGCAAAATTATTTTTTGGAGTGAAGTGTGTTGAAAACCTGATTTAATTAAATTAAAACAACATAAAAATCTTGACTTTTTGTCATTACATTTTTTACAGTGTACTTTTATGACAAAGAATATGTTCTTTTCACTTTAAATAGAATAACTGAATTTAAACATAGGAGAAAAGTGCTTGTTTTAGAGTTCAGTTTTAGACGTTGTTTAGAGTTTTTTCATCTGAAAACTCTACTAAAGTATACTCGATTATTTTACAGCACAGTTGAGAAAAAAAAAAAACACGTGTTTATCACAAGGGCTTGCATTATGACAGTGATTTTTGCATGGGGAAGCACTCACATTACCACTCTTAAGTTAACTGCATTGCGAAATTAGGTTGCAGGTAAGTTAAACAAACCGCAAACAGGAATGGCGGTTGTGAAAAGCTTTTGGTCTAACTAAGATAAACACTTAATGAAAGCAGATTCACCAGTATGGGGGAAAACTGATGACAGAAAGATAACAAAGATTGGAGCGAGAAAGAGAGAGAGAGAGAGAATGAATGAGAGAAGTCAGAGGCATGACTTGGCTGAACTTACTGTGAACTGTGCCAGATTTATTTTCTCCAGCCTTTCTCTCTCCCACTGGGAGCCAGATTTACACGGCTCCTTCTCTGTACGTGTAGCTTTGGGAGCGAAGCCCCAACGGCTCGTGGGAGGCATGCAGGAGGAGAAAAAAAGGGGGATTTGGGGGGTCTTTTGTTTATGGCTTCACCACAGACACCTCTCTCAACCTGCGGCCCTAATTCATCCTCTCAAACTCTCTCTGCTGAGCAATCACGACTAAACACCTCTGCTTATAGACCTGGGTTCCCCCAAAAGTAGTAAATGTGTATCTTCTGTCATCATTCATCATTGTATTGTATGCATAAGGAAAGAGGTCACTGGCCTAGGCTGGGGGTAATGAGTGAACGAGTTTCAGCGCGGTGTGCAGGACTTGTGTTTGTCTCTGGGTAATAGGTGTCGAGTGATATAGAAAGACCCACTACCCCCCCTTCACCATGCTGGCCTGTGGTGTGATTGGATAGAAATGGACGTGTGCGAGTGAGTGTGAGAGAGAAGACTTCTAATGTAGAAGATATAGTGTATTAGCAAGTAGCACAATCTAAGGAAAGCTATTGTGAACACAAAGGATACTGTTTGTGCTGTTGCAACTTGTTATACTATTTTTGAAGAGTTCGCATAGAAAGAACTCCCAATGCCGTCTGAAGTTTTCTTTAAAAATCTGCATTTTTATCAGGCTCCTGTGTGTAATAATACATTGAATTATACGTTTCTTTTACGGACTGTAAAATGAAACATAACAGAAGTCAAAAAACAAAATAGTCTGAGAAAATTGCTAATTTTCGATGGAATTTTTGTTCGATGAATCTTTTCTTTGACCATGTAAACGGAAAAAAAAATGCATGCATTCAGATATTTAGAGATCGGTTTCAGGCCTCCTTCATATGTGGAAGTAAATCAAATATATGTGACAATGCGACTATCATGTGAACAGGTAGATTGGATTTATTGAGGCATTTAGTTTTGCACGTCATTAAACTTTCGACATTGTGGATCTTCACCGAGATTTAATAATGCAGAAGGAAGAGCATTTGTGAAGACGCCGATGCAGTAAACAACAACAACAACAGAGGAAACACGGAGGAGGAAAGTGGTCAGTCACCACAATTTGCTCCCACCAGACCTGAGATCTCTCTCGTACCCACAAATTCCTCTGAATAGTGGAGGACACCATATATAAACCATAGGTACGAGCTGTAATGGCGACAAAGTCATTTTAAAGTTGGGCGAACTTCGCAAATTCCGCTCAGACAAAAGCAAGACAATTTCCTCCATCTTGGCTAGTGTGGCACAGATGCTAGAACCAGCCTTTAGACATGCGCAATGTCATAAACCATATAGCAAGTGTAAACACATGAATCGGATATGGGTCACAATTAAAAGAATGAGTAAACGGGCAGGGGAAAAAATCTAATATAGGCAGCAAATTGGAATTGGGCATCAAGACTTGACATTTAAACAGGGCCTATTAGAGGTTTTTGCATCTGAACTCTTCTTTTTTATCTGCATCCTGCAATCGGTGCATCCACACTGTTTTCAGTGCATTTTTGTAACCTTGTAATTTTCACACTATTTAAAACAATGTGTGCGATTGTAATTATTGCATTTCAACATATATATATGTGAAACTAGAGAACAAAATCAGTCATATTTTGCACAGGAAAAAACAAAAATACATTGTCAAAATGAGAAAAATTATCTATTTCTATGTCAAAAGTCATATAAAGCATATTTACACTGTAAAAAATGCAGGGTTCCTCACAATTCATTCATGTTGTCAAAAACACAAATGGATTAAGTTAACAACACTTTTAACAAACTTATGTGGATTGAACATAAAAAATTAAGTTGTCCCAATGAAATCTCAAGAATTGTGTTGATTCAGCTTCATTTTAAATAAGTGATTTGAACAAACTAAAAATATATATATATTGATGTGTAGTACACTAGAAGCTAGTTTACTGGTATTATATTTTACTATTATAATATTAATACTCATATAGATAGAATAATAGCATCAAATATAAAGTAAAAATAATCTTCAATTAAGAAATTTTCTTCCATATGAAAAACAAAATTACTGATTATTTATATGCATTGCTAAGAACCTAAAGGAATAGTTCACCCAAAATAGAACATTTACTCACACTATTCACTCTTCCTCAAGTGGTTTCAAACCTTTATGAGTTTCTTTTTTTCTGTAGAACACAAATGATGACATTTTGAGAAAAAAACTGTAACCATTGACTTCCATAGTAGGAAAAACATATATTTGCGGAAGTCAGTGGTTGTTCAATTTAAACAAATTCATGATAAAATTGACCGTAGTGTATGTATGAGAGTGAGTGTGTATGGATGTTTCCCTGTGATGGGTTGCAGTAGTAAGGGCATCCGCTGCATAAAACATATGCTGGATAACTTGGGGGTACATTCCACTTTGGCGACCCCAGATTAATAAAGGGACTAAGCAGAAAAGAAAATGAATAAATGAATGATTTTTAAATTTACATATTCAAAAAAAAAAGTTTGGCCACCTGTTGTGATTGTTTGTCTTGAGGCCGGCTATAAACACAAATGAACCAAACTGGGTAAATTAAGGAATACCCAAACATTGAGTTAAATTTGGTCCTATTGATTAAATTTAAAATTTAATCCAGGAGTTGATTTAGTCCCTATTACATCCAGAATTGGCTTAAAATACCCTGTAATCTTTAAGAGTGAATGAATGTAAGGGACATTCTACCAGAAATGTACATTTTCACTTATAAGAAATGTGACAGGGCCTGACTTAAGCTTGTCGTCCTCGAAAAATCCTACAAAACAAGCATAAAATCCTACAATTCCATGATAGAATGCATCCTTGATCACT